CTACCATTCCAATTGTCGAGCGAACGAAATAAGCGCATTGACTCACTGGTCCCGGGGCTTTTTTTTTTTTTCCCTGATGTCAGGGCCACCCGACCCCCGTCCCGTCCCGTATTAGCACGCGCTCTTTGGCAAGTCTCCGATACACCGAGCGCCCTCGATCCCCATCCCGAGCCATTATCGTGCCCACCTTTCCCAACAGTCAACGCCGCCCAGGAGCCCCCCCAGGGGCCAAACGCCTACGTTGGGCCATCGGATTTAACCCACCGCCGTAGAACGGCCGTAGACAACGGGTTCGGAGAACTAGGGGAGTCAGAGGAAGGAGTGGGCTGGGTCGTTTGAGTGGGAAGGGCCTTTGCGGCGTTTTATATAGCCAACTGCTAGACCCCCGTTTTCTTTACTGTTGGTTCTTAGGTGGTGTGACTGTAACCTCATCATGGCCTCATCGAAAATTGCACAACAATATTGGAGGAGCCTGGCCCGGCCCGGACGCCGGGGGCCGGCCGGCACGGCGTTGCAGGTTGAGGCTCTGACTAACACGAGTCTCGTCAACCATCGCAACAGCACGAGTTCGAGCTCGCCGACAGGTACACATCCGTCTCATTGACTTGTGCCCTCAACTCTTTGTGCAATCATACCCTTTGTACACTTATCGTATGCATCGCAACGAAACACCCACTAACACACAACCACAGAACCGAAACGTGAGAGAGTCGTCGTCCTGGGCTCAGGCTGGGCAGGCTACGCCTTCGCCCGCGAGCTCGACCCAAAAAAATACGAGCGCATCCTCATCTCCCCGCGCTCCTACTTCGTCTTCACCCCCCTGCTGGCCTCCACCTCGGTCGGCACCCTCGAGTTCCGCTCCGTCCTCGAGCCCGTCCGCCGCCTGGAGCTCGACGCCTTCCACCAGGCCTGGGCCGACGACGTGGATTTCACGCGGAAAGTGATCCGTGTCGAAAAGGTTACTTCCGAGGACGCCACGTCCAAGACATTGCCGGCGCGGGATGCGCACGCGCGGGCCAAGGGCGAGGTGGTTGATGTCGCGTATGATAAGCTTGTTGTGGCGGTCGGGTCGTATTCGCAGACGTTTGGGATCGAGGGCGTGAAGGAGTATGCTAATTTCTTGAGGGATATCGGGGACGCGAGGAGCATTCGGTTGAGGGTGCTGCAGTGCTTTGAAAAGTCGGATTGGCCGACGACGACGGATGAGCAGAGGAGGAAGCTGCTTCACTTTGCTGTCGTTGGCGGAGGACCGACGGGTATTGAGGTGAGTTACGCCCAATCCCCTTTTTCCCTAAATCTTTCGTCACTAACACACGCCCAGTTCGCCGCCGAGCTTCACGACCTGATCCACGACGACCTCTCCAAGCTCTACCCGCACTTGATGGAATTCGTCGGCATCACAATCTACGACATCGCGCCCAAGGTCCTGCCCATGTTTGACCAGCAGCTGGCCTCCTACGCCGAGGACCTCTTCCGCCGCCAGGGCATCAAAGTAAAAACCAACCACCACCTGCAGCGCATCCGCCCGGACGAGACGGACCCGCGCGGCGCGCTGCGGCTCAAGATCCAGGAGCACGGCGAGGAGGAGGTCGGCGCGGGCATCGTGGTGTGGAGCACGGGTCTGATGCAGAACCCGCTCGTGCAGACGCTGATGAAGAAGGAGTTGCGGAACCCGAACGTCGCTGCTGCTGCTGCTACGGAAGACCAGAGTGCTGGTGGTAGTACTGAGATGGTCAGGATTCTCAAGGCGGAGCGGAGCGGTGGTATCGTCACAGACGCGCATCTGAGAGTCCGCCTCGACGACCCGAAGAACGAGGGCGCCGTGCTGCCGGACGTGTACTCCATGGGCGACTGCTCTGTTCTCGAGGGCCAGACGCTGCCTGCCACGGCCCAGGTTGCCAGTCAGCAGGCAAAGTACCTCGCCAAGGCGCTCAACAAGCAGGCGGCCGGGCCCGAGGAGGGAAAGCCGTTCAAGTTCCGGAATCTCGGGGCCATGGCGTACTTGGGTAGCTGGCGTGCTATTCATCAGAGTTCTGCGGATGAGTTGAAGGGGAGAGCAGGTATGTTATACAGTACTCTTGCAGGCAGTGGGATCTGAATGGGCTAACGAGGTGCTGTGCAGCTTGGATTCTGTGGCGGTGTGCTTATTTGACCAAATCGATGAGTATTCGGAACAAGATTCTGGTCCCGGTGTACTGGTTCGTCACCTGGGTTTTTGGAAGGGATATTTCTCGGTTTTGAGCGTTGTGGGATATGAATTCGTGCGTCAGTCAGTAGGGGAGAGAAAGGCATCATCATGGACTTGTTAAAAGTGAATAGCGACTGTAAGATGGTGTAAATGGTGGTCATGAGAGGCCAATGCAACCCACACAATTGTTAGCGATAGACATAGACGAAGAAAGACGACTACCATAGGGATGATAGATTAGAGGGGGCAACCCGGGTATTCAGCCCGATTGTAAAGTATAATAGCCACGCAGCTTTCCGTTCGGTATCGTTTGGACCCATACCCACTGCATAGCGTAGTATAGGGTGATTATTATATGATTCAGATTCACGAGATTAACATAACTTAGTGTGGGAGGAGGGAATGACTGCAGCTGCCTCACATCACACCCTTTCATCCCGATCACCAACCATCACCAACCTCATCTGAATCCACTCACCGCTCGCCACTGCCGCCTCTATACCTCTATCATCAATAAATTTGTTTGATACTATCACCAAGGCCTGTGATGTAGCGGGGAAAGTCCTCAGTGAATTGCCCCGCTCGCACAGGTCGCGAGTTCGAGTCTCGTGAAAAATTCCTGCCGCGTTGCACCTGAGGAATAGGACGTACAGAGTCGGCAGGGGTTTTCGTAGGCTCCCCGTGAGGGGGACCAAGCTTTTGCAATTTTGTTTATATATAAGTTGGATGGGATCTATCATTAAAAACATTTTCTGTTTCATGCTTTTACTCCTCTTTCTGGTTTGAAGTACAAGATGCCGAAATGGAGAGTAAAGGACTGCGACTGCCATTGATAACTCTCAGATCCTACCCTAATCAGGGCAATGGATGCTTGAGACAGCTTAGATGTCGTAGTGGCTTTGATGTTTCTTCTTCTTGAAAATTGTATCATCTAGAATGACAGCATTCAACCAGATGTTGATTGGGCGGGAGAAGTGAGTAAATACGATGATGGCCAGATGAATCAAGATAGATAACAAATACTTCTTCATTATTCATGAGGATTGTACATTATGTACTTTTGCGCAGAAATCTATGACCTTTTCCAACCATCTCAGAACTGAGGATATCCCGACTGCGAAACGAAACGAGTGCCGTTCACCCCCTGAATGCCCTGGCCCTGCTGGCCGGCAACAACAGTAGCCTCACGCACGGCACGTGAGACAGTGCCCCTCACACGACCCTCCTCGAGCACCAAAAGACCACCGATAGTGCATCCGCCCGGGGTAGTAACCTTATCGCGGAGGAGAGCAGGGTGGTCACCGTTCTGGACCAAGCCCGCGGCGCCCTTCATAGTCTGCGCCGCCATCCTCGTGGCCTCGGCGCGCGGGAGACCCATGGCGACGGCGCCGTCGATGGCGGCCTCGAGAACCAACGAGAAAAACGCTGGGCCGGAGCCGCAGAGGGCGGTGCTGACGTCCATGTTCTCGGCAGGCAGGTAGACGACGTCGCCAATGCGCTTGAAGATCCAGGTAACGAGGTTGGCGGCCTCGCGCGGTAAGGGGTAGGTGGGCGCGCCGATGACGGTCATGCTCTCGCGAATGAGGGAGGCGGTGTTGGGGAGAGCGCGGATGATGCGGCAGCGGCCGTCCTCCTCGGGGTCCTTTGTCGGGACGGCGCCGTGGAGGATCTCCTCGAGGTGCTCCTCGGTGAGGCCGGCGCAGATGCTGATGAGGAGCTTGCCGTGCAGGGCGCGGGTCATGCCTGGTTCGCTGAGGACGTCCTTGACCATGTAGGGCTTGCAGGCGAGGATGACGACGTCGGACTGGGAGACGGAGTTGACGTTGTCGTTTTGGACGACCTTGAGGATGGAGGAGTGCTCCCACAGCGCCTTCTTCACCTTCTTGGCGCTGTCGGAGCGACGGACGCAGGCGATGAAGCGGGATGGTAGGCGATGGGGGACCTCGTCGCCCAAGGGGGTGGATGTGCCCGATGCCGAAGGAGTGTGGAGGGTCTGGAGAGGCTTGGGAGCCTGCATTTCCAGCAGGGAAGTGAAGATGCCGTTGAGGATGGCGATACCCATGGTTCCTGTTGAGAGTCAGAATATCTCATCTCATTATTTGCAGAAGAGATTTCTTTACTTACCACAACCGAGAACGGTCATGGTGAGCTCCGAAGAGCTGTGATCTCCCATGACAGACATGATGAAGACGCGGTATGAGAGAAAATGAGAATGCGGTGTAAGTGATGGATTCCTATTGCGCCAAGGATGGTGCTTCTAATTTATAGTCCAAGAAAAAACAACAGAAAGTTAGAGCAATATGGACAAGCTCAGTTTCGGAGAAAGGGTCGCTCTGGGTTGCAAAAACAAAGTTTATCAGACAAAGATAGGAGATGAAGGCTGAGTTAAAGAATCCCCTGGCTAATAATATTTTCCACCTCCTTTTGCAGAAAAAGAAGCTCTCCACTGTTCCGATATCGTCCGTCCACAGCTTTTCGTCCACTGGACTTGGCTTTTCTTCAGCGCTAAGCCCAACTCTGCTTAGCTTGATATCCCCCTAGATTCGCACAGTGCTTACCGCACCAAAGCAGTGAGAACACACCCAAAAATGGAGGCAACAGCACAGGGTGTACCTGTGGGAAACTCCCCCAGCGAATTCAGTCGGAAAGAGTGACAGCTCGGATTCGGGAGCCATTGAACAAGCCTCAACTCAGCCCCAGCATCACCAGCCGCTTTTTCAACATCATCCCGAACTCTCACCCCAGACTCGCTCCGCTCAATTCAAACTTAGATCAAGATCAGAACCGGGACCGAAGTTCGCCGTAGCGCAGCATGGCGGACCCTTTCGAGGTTCGAATGCGCTTCAGTAGCTCCCTGCAGCATCTGAATGCGTCCGTTACTTCAGCTCAGAAGGCGGCTCAGTATGCCCTCAAGTACAAGGATATGGACGAGGATCTGCACTCTTGTATCCTCGAGCAACTGGAGCGAGTGAGTGTGATCTACGTGAGAAGACTATGAGATAACGGGCTGATTATGATTCTTTTTAGAACAACATGAATACGCGCGCCAATATCATGTACTTCATTGAGCATTTCCTTGAGATGGCACAGAAGGACAAGCACATGGACTATGTCCGCATGATGCAGCGCGACATCATTCGCATCGTTGATGCCGTCGCCCCCGATGATGGGTCCGGCGCCGCCAACGTCAAGGTCGTCCGAAGAGTGAGTTCCCTCTCTGATCCCACGGCCCCGCACAAGCTTCATGTAAAAACTGACATGAGAGCAAAAATTTCAGGTCCTCCGAGGCCTCCAGGACAAGACCTTCCTCGAGGCACGCACAGTGACAGAGATCGAAGAGGTCCTCAAGGAGCGCGAGACGAGCGCCCACGACGCGGGCCTCTCGTCCCCCGTCAACGGCGACGTCGAGATGGGCGACGCGCCTCCCAGCCACGCCATGCCGGCTAACGGCCGGGGACCCGCCGCGCGCCTGGAGAAGCGCCAGATTGAGCAGCGCATCGAGGAGGACCGCGAGCGTCACAAGCGGCTGCGCGAGAGCATATGGGCCATCCCGCCGCACGGGAACGCAGAGATTGACAAGATTTGGGATGAGACGAGCGATTTCGGCGACGACGACCACATCCTGGGTGAGGAGGAGTTTGCCGAGTGCTCTCAGGCTATGAAGCACTCGTGTCCTCCTAAGCCGCCGGTCGGTCCTGCTAGTACGCGCATTACGAATGGAAAGAAGAACTGAGTGAGAACTTGCGGGTTCTCTTCCAAAGCATATCTTGGCGTTTCGGGGGAAAGGATGGAAAAAATAGGGCGTTCGAGGGTCAGGTGTCGCGACACGACAAATTCCACAGGTAGCACTAGGGTCAAGGTCTTTATCAACGTTGGCCAAGTATTTTTTGGGTAGCTTGAGGCATAATCAGGAATTGCAAAAGAAGACCGTTCTGTATGGCAATACAAAAAAGGTGGTGTATGTCTTTGTGATAATATTGTTACATGGGTGTTTATACACTCATACACGTCCGTCTAGACCAATCCGAACCCAGATGTCCGACAACACAATGCTCCCCCCGACTTTTACATCTCCTCCCAAGGAGAGGGGCCGCGCTCCAGTCTACATCAGCCAGCCAGGCCTCAACCAGCCATCAGGGCCCTTTTACTCCATGGTGACGGTGGCGCCAAGCTCCTTCATGGCGGCGATGATCTTCTCGGCCTCGTCCTTGGCCACGTTCTCCTTCATCAGCTTCGGCGCGCTCTCGACGAACTTCTTGCTGTCCACCAAGCTCAGACCCAACAGGTTCTTGATCTCCTTGATGACCTTGGGCTTGGAGCCGGCGTCGAAGGCCTGGAGCTTGATGTTGAAGACGCTCTTCTCGGCGGCCGCCGGTGCGGCCTCCTCAGCCTCCTCGACAGCGGCGGGAGCTGCTGCGGGGGCGGCGGCGAAGCCACCGACGGGGAGATCGGGGATGTTGAGCTTGGACTGCGATTGAGAGAGTCAGAATTTGGCCCATGATCTCTTTTTCCCCTGAATGCCTATGACGAGTCGATTGGGGGATAAACTGCGCTCGTCACTGCTTCTTCAACTAACCTTCAAGCTTGAAACAAGGTCTGCGGTCTCGAGGAGAGTAAGGGTGCTAATCTGGTCGACAATGGCGGCGATCTTGGGGTTCGTGGGGGCAGCGGCCTCGGTCGAGTTGTACCTTCGTGCGGTTACGGGAGTTCGGGTCTGGAAGAGGGATGTCGAGGCACGCATCGAGCCGGTGGCACGGAGCTGACGGGCGCAGCTCTGGGCTGCGAATCTGCAAGAGAGGGCCATTGTGTGTAGTTGTCGTGTGAGGATATGAAGAATGCGGGAGGAGACGAGGCCAATTGGCGTTGTTGAGCGGAGCGGATTGTCGTCGAGAATCGAGTTCGGCCTCAAGCAACAGGGAGGTTTCTTAGCTCGGAATATCTTCTGGGCTTGAAGTTTTTCGAGCTCCTGCGAATGAGGTGGTACCAGTCGCGTGAATGGTGCAGAGTCGTCTCCACTTTGATTGGCTCGGGGGCTCTGTAGCGCCGCCTTCCGCTCCGTGGAGTGCCTACACTGCAGGGACCCCTGTCCAACACACTGCGGCGGGCCCCATCAAAGGGAAAAAAAGTTGCCTTTTGGCTGGGGCGCGCTGAGAAAGGGTCCTCTCTCTCTTTGGAGTACAGACCAAAAAAAAAAAGTTGGAGGTACCTGCAAATTGGCCATCCATGAACATCACCGCCGTCGACATATCTCATAATTGAGCCACAACCATGGCTTCCGTAGACGTGTCGACGCAGAGGAGCGCTCTCCTGAACGACGCGACCGTTCTGGAGCATCTACCTACCGAAATACTAGAGGTTATCAGAAATCACACCTCATCACGCCTCCTCGACGCCGTTGCAGAGGCTGCTCTCATTCCCCAACTTACAGACCGAATTTTCATTCACTTTGAGAATGTCTTTCCTGATATCTGCGCTCGTTGGCTCCTCAACCTCGACAACCAAGCCGTCAATGGCAAGAATAGACAAATCCTTGCGTCTGTCGCGAGGATATTACCATTTGCTCCGTATTTATCGGAATTCCTGCAGTATGTCATGAGAGACGACTTGACGAAAACGACACCGGATACCATCCAGACGCTCACCCTCCGATTCCCAAAACTCACCACTTTTTCTCCCACACAAGATTCAGACCTTCTGAAGCTACTATTAGCAGCATGGCGGCTCGTCTGTTTCGATCAAAGGACATACGGCATCCTGGTCTCACCAACACACATGCAAACTCTCTTCTCACATGAGAGCCGCGCCGTCCGGTACTTGGCCATCCGAATTTTCACCCAGCTCCTTCGCGCTGCCGACTCAAAGCTGGAGGCTCTCATCACCGAGTACGTCGGGGCGACGGAGGCCGTCCTCGCGGACTTTGATGGGCGCGAGGTAGACTACGGGTTCCTGAGTCTGTATGAAGATGCGCGGATCAAGCAGGTATCAACCCTGCGCCGGGAGCTCTGCGATGCTTCACAGAGCAATGAAATCCACTCTTTTCCACCGCAATCACTCACTCCCTATGTTGCGTGCTACGGCAAGACAATACTGCCGAGACCGTCTGGACCAGTCGACAAGAATTCGTCCCTTGTGCTGACGTCCACTACCACCAAAAACCTTGAGAGCCTGGCTGGCCTCCTGAAGAAAGCAAGCCCGATCCTCCTTCATGGCCTGCCCGGCTCTGGAAAGACCTCACTGGTTCATGAAGTTGCAAAGGAGTTTGGAAAGCATTCTGAGATGGTGACATTGCACATCAATGAGCAAACAGACGCAAAGATGCTTATTGGGCTCTATTCAACCGACTCAAAACCTGGAACCTTTTCATGGAGAGCTGGTGTGCTGACAACTGCAGTCAGAGAAGGTCGCTGGGTTCTTATCGAAGACCTGGATAGAGCACCCAACGAAGTCATCAGCACACTTCTCCCCCTGATCGAGCGCGGCGAGCTCCTCATCCCGAGCAGAGGTGAGCGTATCAAGGCTGCCAACGGATTCCGTCTCTTTGGCACGGTGAGAAGTTCACGCGGCATGCATGGTCGCGAGACGCTGCCTAATCTCCTGGGCATGCGGTTCTGGCAACTACTCTCGGTGCAGACTCCCACAGAGACTGAGCTACAGGACATCATTGTTGGGTCCCACCCCATCTTACACAAGTTTGCGCCTGGTATTCTCGCTGTATACAAGCGCTTGTCAAAGCCAATGTCCGGCAACGTTCCCCTCTTGTCCAGCCGCGGCATGGCCGACCGTCAAACCAGCTTGCGAGATCTATTGCGGTGGTGCAGACGCCTTGCGGCTACACTACACGAGGCAGGCTGCAAAACTGGCGAGGAACCTGTCACTGACACTATTCGAATGAACATGTTCAAGGAGGCCATTGACTGCTTCGTCGCTGGTATTCCCGACGTCCAGGCCAGGCAGCACTTCATTTTCGGCATCGCTGAGGAGATGCATATGCCGAAGGAGCTAGTCGAGCATCACTTGGGAAGCTACATCCCGGAGCTCGAGCAAAACGATAGCCTTTTCAAGATTGGTCGATCAACACTGCGGAAGCGGAAGGACCGCGTGAACAAGGCCGCCCTAGCCAAGAAGCCCTTTGCCAGTACAACGCACGCAAAAAAGTTGTTGGAGCAGACCGCAGTAGCTGTAAACCTTGGCGAGCCGATCCTCCTTGTTGGTGAGACTGGTATCGGAAAGACGACAGTCGTCCAGCAGCTGGCCGACACGTTGGGTCACAAGCTGGTCGCCATCAACCTCTCGCAGCAGAGCGAAGCCGGAGATCTTCTCGGAGGCTTCAAGCCTGTCAACGTGAGGAGTCTGGCTGTTCCTCTGAAAGAGGAATTCGAGGACCTGTTCTCGGCGACCGGCATCTCGACAACGAAGAACCAGCGCTACCTCGAACAGCTCGGAAAGTCGTTCGCCAAGGGACAGTGGGCGAAGGCGGCCAAGTACTGGCGTGAAGCGCCCAAGATGTTTAGGAAGATCGTCGACGAGCTCGCTCGGCGCGAGAGGGAGCAAAGCCAAGCCCGTGACGAGGCAGGCCAGCCAACGAAGCGCCGCAAGACCGAGTCCAAGCTTCAAAGCCTCATGGAGCTCAGCCCCCGTTGGGACAAGTTCTCCAACAGCCTGGAACAATTCGAGGTTCAATTGTCTGGAGGTTCAACCGCGTTCGCATTCTCATTCGTGGAGGGAAACATCATCAAGGCCGCCCGGAATGGTGACTGGGTGCTCCTCGACGAGATTAATCTGGCATCACCTGACACTTTGGAAGCCATCGCGGACCTACTGACAGGACCCGTTGAGACACCCTCAATTCTCTTGTCCGAAACAGGAGAGATCGAGAGGATCAGAGCACACCCCAACTTCCGCATCTTTGGTGCCATGAACCCGGCGACAGATGTTGGCAAGCGTGATCTTCCTATCGGCATCCGGTCTCGTTTCACTGAGCTCTACGTTGACAGTCCTGATAAGGACGTGAAGGACTTGGTCACCATCGTCAAGACGTACCTGAGGAACAGCAGCATCAAGGATGAACACGCCGCAGATGATATTGCGGCGTTGTACATGAACACCAAGAGACATGCCGAGGAGAAGAGAATCGTGGACGGAGCCAACGAAGTGCCGCATTTCAGTCTTCGTACTCTCACCCGAGTCTTGACATTCGTCAACTACATTGCCCCATTTTACGGTATTCGTCGAGCCTTGTACGAGGGTTTCTCCATGGGATTCCTTACCCTTCTCGACAGGAACTCGGAAAAGATGGTTATGCCGTTAATCGACCTTCACTTGTTTGGCCGAATCTCCAATCCGCAGTCTCTGCTTTCACAACCGCCAAGACAACCAGATGACGGTAAGCAGTACGTACGGTTCCGTAACAAGGCAAAGGACCGTCACTACTGGCTTGCCCAGGGAGAAGAACCAACTCTGGAACGAACCGATTATATCATCACGCCCTATGTTGAACGCAACCTTCTCAACCTCGTGCGAGCGACATCTACGCGGCGATTCCCCATTCTCATCCAAGGTCCGACATCAGCAGGAAAGACGAGTATGATTGAGTATCTTGCCAACTTCACAGGCAACAAGTTTGTGCGCATCAACAATCACGAGCACACGGACCTGCAAGAATACCTGGGAACGTATGTATCGGACTCGTCAGGAAGACTTCGCTTCCAAGAAGGTCTCCTCGTGCAAGCCATGCGACAGGGCCACTGGATCGTTCTGGACGAGCTGAACCTTGCTCCAACCGACGTCCTGGAAGCACTGAACCGTCTGCTCGACGACAACCGAGAGCTCCTGATCCCCGAAACACAGGAAATCGTGCGACCGCACGAGAACTTCATGCTTTTCTCCACACAAAACCCTCCTGGTCTGTACGGTGGCCGCAAGGTGCTTTCGCGTGCGTTCCGTAACCGTTTCTTGGAGCTGCATTTTGACGATATCCCCGAGGACGAGTTGGAGTACATTCTCCAAAACAGAAGCATCAACACTGCACCCTCAGACTGCAAGCGAATCGTCACAGTCTACAAGGAGCTCTCTCGTCTCCGCCAGACGAGTCGCCTGTTTGAGCAAAAAGACAGTTTCGCAACGCTCCGTGACTTGTTCCGATGGGCCCTGCGAAAGGCAGACACGAGAGAGCAAATTGCCATCAACGGATTCATGCTTCTCGCCGAGCGTGTCCGAGTCGAGGAGGAACGGACTGCGGTCAGGGAGGTCATCGAGACCGTGTTCAAGGTCAAGATTGACCCAGACGTCCTATACACTGCCAATTCATCACCAATCTTGACCGCGGTTCTTGGCAAGGCCAACAACCATGGCGTTGTGTGGACTCGCGCCATGCGTCGTCTCTATGTTTTAGTGCATGCTGCAATCCTCAACAATGAGCCAGTCCTTCTCGTGGGTGAGACTGGATGTGGCAAAACCACCGTTTGCCAGATTCTCGGCGATGTACTTGGAAAGGAGTTGCACATCGTCAACGCTCACCAGAACACCGAGACGGGAGATCTCATCGGCTCCCAGAGACCCGTGAGAAATCGCGGTACCATCTCGGAGACACTCAAGAGTGATCTGAGTGCTCTCCTTGGAGCGCTTGGCGAAGACGCGACAGGCCCGCTGAACGTGCTGCTGCAACAGTATCATGGGCTTGCGGCGGATAAGCTGGCCAGGGTCGACGCTGCCACGCAGGAGAAGATTGCATCCCTGGAAGCCAAGAGCAAAGCCCTGTTCGAGTGGTCAGACGGAAGTCTCGTTCACGCCATGAAGGCTGGCCAG